ACTCCGTATGTTACTTTTATTAACAAATGCACTTTTATAAAATATTACTTTTGACATTTAATCCAACAAAATTATCTATTTTTTTTTTGTTATTATTATTATTATTATTATTTATTATTATTATTATTATTATTATTATTATTATTATTATTATTATTATTATTTTTTAATTTTTGGAGTGTTATTTTGGGTGGTACTACTCATACCAACAGAGGTGCATCTCCTTTTAAGGGAGCTCATCACCCAAGAACTCCAAAGTTAAGCGTGCTTGCACAGGATTAGTCTTGGGATGGGTGACCCCCTGGGAAGTTTCTCAGGGCGCGCATGAGTGAGGACAAAGTGCGCGGTAAAGGCTTGTGGTGGTTTGTGGTGGTTTGTGGGGACAGTACTATTGGTCCGGAGTAACTACCTCGGGTCCGGTGGGGCCGGGGTGTTACAGGTGGTATCAGAGCAACCCCGCAACAGTGTGATGACCCGTTGGATATCGGGCGGGCACTTAGCGGGGGAAGATTCTGGGATTTGATTGAGATTTGAGATTGGTTCAAGGGCGCAACGAGGACGTTGCGATCCTAAGTGGGGGTGATTGTAACACTTGAGATTTAATATAAACGGATTAATAGTACTACTCATACCAACAGAGGTGCATCTCCTTTTAAGGGAGCTCATCACCCAAGAACTCCAAAGTTAAGCGTGCTTGCACAGGATTAGTCTTGGGATGGGTGACCCCCTGGGAAGTTTCTCAGGGCGCGCATGAGTGAGGACAAAGTGCGCGGTAAAGGCTTGTGGTGGTTTGTGGGGACTGTACTATTGGTCCGGAGTAACTACCTCGGGTCCGGTGGGGCCGGGGTGTTACAGGTCGGCACCAAGTCAAGCCCCGAAAGTCAAACATTTGGTCAACGATGGTCAAGCACCAAGCAGTCAACTATCGCCAGGAAAGGAACAAAGGGCAAAAGGGCGGATCCTCTCAACACGAGCCCGAGATCTCAGATATCGACCTCAGTGGTCCCCGAGGTCAGGATAAAGCGCCATGTACTTAGATAGAATCCGTAAGGATTCGTCTCGCAAGGAGACACCGCCCCGTCACTCTCTGCGCCAAAGGAACATTCCAGGTTATCCACGTGCGGCCACACGGGAATTCTGGCAGGAATTCTGTTAGAAGAATAAACAATCAGCCAGCTATCAAAGGTTCTCTCTCCAATCAGCTTTACACGTGGCCGCCCCTCATTTAATTGGGTTGTTAGTTTGTTAGAATAGCTTTACACGTGTCCTTCTCCCATTATACTAGTATCTTTGGCTTGGCCTCCAAGTATTTCCTTTTTCCTTAGTATAAATATCACCTTCCAACTTGTGGAAAGGGATGCTTAATCTATTGCACTCTTGAGACTTATACACGGGGACTTTTTCCGATCTGTACTTTCCGATCAGTTTGCTCTCTTTTCTACTCTCATTCTCGGTGGATTCCGGCCACCCCTGGTCCGACGATCCATCAATTAATTAAAATAGTTTTTATTAGTTGCATTACTTTCATTATTATATTTGTTGCAAATTAATATTTGTTACATTTTTAAGATGGAAGGTGGTAGATATTCGGTTGATATGGGTAACCTCGAGCGCAACCGAAGGAACGAGATTGGGAGGAAGAAATCCTGCAAAGGTAAAGAACTTGTCGGCTCTTCATCTCAAAGCCGAGATGATTTTGAAACGGGTTACCAAAGGAGGGATGGAGATGCGATGTCCGAAGAACAACTACAACAAGAATTGGCCCGACATAATAATTGCTTTCTCCAACAAGAACAAATCCCAACGACCATTGACGAAGATGAGCTCGAGGATGACGATGCGGATGAACTTGAACCGGAGACGGGCGATGGTGACGGCAACCACGACGACGCGGACGAGCCCACCTCATCTCAACCCGGTAAGGAAAAAAGTAAATCTGAACTAATGCAAAACAATTTTGATAAGTGGAAGGACACCCAAACTGGGTTTTGGTATGTAACTTGCAAGCGGTGTAACAAAAATTATAGTTTGGGGACCTCCGGCGGATATGGATCCGCCGCAAGGCATCTTAAGGCAAAGCACCCCGTGGAGTATGCAAAATTAGGCGGCGGAACGGGGAAGCAAACTCAAATATTGAGGTTTGCAAATTCTCAACCTTTTGGTAAATTCTCATACAATGATGCACAAAATTTGACTGGTATGGCTAACTTAATTTGTGAAGAAAATTTGCTTTATATGTTTTCTGAAAGTCTTGCTTTAAATCCTCAATCTAGAGGTTACAGTCGCAAAACTGTTAAGAAAGAAATTATAAGGCTTTATGGTGCGGAAAAGGCAAGGTTACAAAATTTATTTGATGGGCGTGTTAGTATTTGTGCTGACATATGGGAGAATGATTTTCATCATATAAATTATTTGGGTGAGACTGCACATTATATTGATGAGGATCGGTCGATCGGAATATGCATAAACATGTTTTTGCTTTTCGTGAATTTAATGATCGTCACACCGCTGAACATATGTATATTTTGATTGAGCGTATTTTAATTGAGTATAATTTGATTGATAAGGTGTTTGCTATTGGTTTCGATAATGCTACTAATAATACTGCTGCTATACCTCGATTGTGTGAATTGTGTGGTGCCAATAGTTTGATCGGTTGATTTTTTCATCAACGCTGTGTATGCCATGTTATAAATTTATGTGTGCAAGACGGTCTAAAAGCGTTAGGAGATGCTATGGAGATAGTCACGGGGGGTAGACGTATTTGGCGTAATGGTCAACTAAGATTAAAATGGCAAACTTATTTGACTGAAAGAGGTGTGAAATATGTTGTTTTTCCTAAAGATTTGAGTATTCATTGGAATAGTACTTATAAATTACTTAAAGTTGTTCTTAGATATAAAGAACATTTTCCTACTTGTTTAAAACAACATGATAACTATATTATAAACTCGGCTGAGATTGAAACTTTTAGTCATGTTTATAAACCAACCGCAAACCAATTATTTATTCGTGAAGCTGTTAATCTCGCTGGTGCTTTTAAAAAATTTGAGAATGTCGTTTACGTGAGTTATTTTTGTGATTTTTTTAAGGAAAAGTTTTAAAAATATTATGCACATATTCCGCATATTTATGGTATTGCATTTATTCTCGATTCTCGTTTTAAATTAGCTAAATTGGAAGATTGTTTCAACTTCTATTATCTTGCTTTTTTGGTGAATTTCCAATGTATGACGATAACGTCATAGATCCGAAAACGGAATACAATGAGGTTAGTACTTTATTTTATGCCTTATTTAATGAGTTTCATGCATAATATGGCAACGCGCCCCCTCCCCCGACACGAACATCTTCATCTAAAGGAAAATCAATTTTTAAATCTGCATTTGGCAATCTTATGAAAAAAACTAAAACAACTCACCCTACTGAACAAAGCGTAAGAAATGAGATTACTTAGTATTTAACATATGAAGTTGAATTTGAAGAAAATGATGATTTTGACGTTCTAAAGTGGTGGAAGTCAAAAGAAAGAATGTTCCCGATTTTAGCACGGATTGCTAAGCAAGTGCTATCAATGTCGGTTTCAACAGTTGCCGTGGAACAAGAATTTAGTTCGGCGGACAACATCCTAACGGCATCTAGAACGAGATTGAGCGCAAACTCTCTTGAGACGTTTATATGCTACCATGATTGGTTGAAGGACGCACGTAAAACTCAAAAAATGAGCATCACCCCCTCCCAAGACTTTATGGATGACTCAACAACCGATGGTGGCTCTACTACGCCAGAGAGTCCGATTGATTAGTATTTTACAATTTATTATAAAATGTATTTCATGTTTTAATCTTTCCCTCAATTCTCAATTGTAATTTGTAAGTTTGTACTTCATATTTCAAATAAATATGCGTTCACTTTTTCATATGAAGCACTTCTCAAATTAATTAATTGGTTACAAACTTACAACTTACAATTAATTGTTTTTAATTTACTTGAAAATGTATTTCATATTGTAATTTTTTTCTCAATTCTCAAATGTAGTTCCTATTTCAAATAAATGCACTTGAACTTTGTTTTTAATAAACATTTGTATAAACTATAAAGTATAAAAAAATTCAACTAACCCGGCCCGGCGGGTGGCCCGACCCATGACCCGGGCGGGTGGCCCGGCCCGAACCGGCACTGGCCATAGCACGGGCCGATCTCGGGCCTCCTTCAAAAAACCCGAGGCCCGACTGGGCCAAGGCCCTGCCCGGGCCCAACCCAGGTCCAAGACTATTTATAAGTATATATAAACTCGGTTATTTAGTATTAATTGAGTACATTTGTTAGATTAACACGTCAATATGCTTGAGTTAACTAATAGAATCCTGAGTATTGGGTCAAGTTTATGACACTGACCTTCACGAATTTGACCAAAAAGGAAAAATCGATCTTCGGAGGTCGACCTGTGTGGGGTGTCGGCCGGCAGGGATGTATCGACCAAGGGAAAGTCGACCTGTGGGGGATTGACGTCGATCAAGAGGAAGTCAATCCAGGGGTTGGGGTTGGCGTCAATCTTCAGGAGTCGACTTATTAGACTTATTAGTATTCTGTTAGCAAACTCATCCATATGAATATGTTAATCAAACGGGTGTACTCAATTAACACTAAAAAATCGAATTTGTGTACTTAAAAAGATCAAATGCAATATAGCGTACTCTTTGCTCCACTTCATACAAGTTTATGTACTGAATTGACCCTTACCTCGATCCTTTTATGCTAACGACATAATACATTAATACCGTAGACCTAAGTTTGACAAGAAACAACGCATAAATCCCTGAAGTACTTTTGTGAACAATTTCTTTTTTCTAAAAAAACAAAAATATTCTAGAGTCGTTAACTAATTTTTTGGTTCTCATATATGATGGAGTAAGAGAGTAGACACAAATTTAGATCGTTAGACTAAACAAAGAGACTTATTATAGTTCATAAATAAATACAAATATAGAAACATATTGGTTCATTTAAAGCCCTGGCGCTCATCCAGCTCAACAAACCTGCAAACAACCAAGTGCATTTTCTATATGTGTATGTAAACATAGAACGTCAAGTGCTGCTGGAGTTTTCAAATCCGGAAGTCAAAGTCAGACATACTTCCCCTTCCCTTTTGTTACATAAATCAAAGGATCCTAAAGGAAGCAACCTTTTTATCTCCAAAACACATCTATCTAGGATATTCTTCTAAAAGCAAAAGAAATTATGATATTTATATCCCCTAGGCTATCAACTAATTAATTGTATGAATATTATTCATCCTTGCTTCTCTTCTCCTTCTCAAGACTTGAAAATATAACAAATTTGCAAACTCATATTCGAGCAATGGAAGAGAAGAGAGGGTTGACAACAAATAAAGGAAGAGATTGGTCAACCTTTCTGCTACCTTTCGCCTTCTCTTGCTGCCTAACTCCAACAGTCAAACTACCAAAGTCATGATTGGCAAACATTCTTTGCTGCAAGGATTTTACATTTTTGCCTCTCCTGCGTTCCACAGAACCTGCTGCTAAGGCCTCCGTAGTGTGCAGAACTGAAACACAAATGGAGAATGCTTGTAACACAGATAACTCATGCTGGAAGCTGACCGCATATTGTTGCCCATCATCCGTCAATGCCATCATCGTCAATGCTGGTGCCTTGCCTTTCTTTCCCTACATATATATGTGTACAATTGCTTGGATGATATATGCAAGTAAAGTACTAATGACAACATACACAGAAAAAAGAAAAAGATTTATAGGATCAACCTCCATCAAACTGACTAATATATTATGTACTGATTGATGATTGATATGGATCAGAATCATTGATAGATGAAACTTATTCATTCATCCATCAAATCCTTTGCAAAGAAACACCACTGATCAGAATTTTGGGTTGGCTAACTCAGAAATATATAAATGAAGGAGATGCGTGTAAAAATGTGAAACAAAATGTAAAAATATGGTGGCAAAACTAGAAAAAAGTAAAGTCCAAATATAGGAGATTCACGTGAGAGTGGGTGTAGTTGGGGTACTATTTGAAGAAAAGTGGTAAACAGCCAAGGAGTGAAGTCTTGGTGTGCTGGAGGCTTAAAAGAAGAGATGGAGTTGTGGTAGTATTGTGGTAGACAGAGAAAATAACATGGGTGGCTTTGAGGTCCCAAAGAAGGGCATTGGAGCTAAGGTTCCAAGATTTTATTTGTCAGTTGACCCTTTACTTGGTTAGGGGGATTAAAGCTTGGTTGTTGACTTGTTGTTGTTGATCAATGAAAACTATTCCTGATGTTATGTGCTTGGTTGCGGAAGTCAAGATTCATTGTACTCGTCAATGTTTTAGAGCAAAAATGAATATGATGGAAACAAAGATAGAGAGGCATATTTTTTTAGAATTGCAAAATAGGATCGTAAATAAGAGAGAGTTTCAGTCCTGTTTACCCCAGGCTCCCCCAGCCCCGGCCCCCTGACCCCCTGGGATAAAAAAACATACATGCATGCATGCATACGTGTGTAATATGATCACGCTTCATCAAAAAGATGTCAAAATACTCAAATATCTGAGCTCATCGACATGTCATGACATTTTGGAAGAGACAACACTAATGCGTGAATACTTGAGAGCTAATAATATGAAGAAGAAAGGATACCTGAAGGAAAAGTTCAAATGGCTTATGGTTGTTTATGAGTGGAGAGTCGTCGTCATTGCCAATCTGGGCATTTGTAATGTCAAAAACTCTTAGGGGGCAAGCCAGGTCCCAGCCACCACAGTCACAACCTCCACCTAGCCGCCACCTATCGATCAACGGATGCAGGGCCTCCCGGCTTTCAGTTGTTGGCAGACTGTGACGCCCCCCAGCTGATGGGAGCACCACATTCATCATCTTCACGTGACTCAGACCGTTGTTGTTACTATTATATTCGCAACAAGCATCATCCTCAGATCTCAACAACTTGTTCTCGCACCAGTTTCTATTTTTCAAAGCAAATGGCAATTCAATCACAATCGCTGCAAGTTCAAGCTCCGGTCGCAATTCCAAAGGTGGATCATCATTATGAATAGCAGCAGGAGCAGGAGCCTTCTTTCTGGGGCCAATATTACCTGTCCCAGATAAAACATCATCGGGGGAAGGAGCATATAAACTTTTGAGAAATGAACCATTTTCTCTCATGTCATACAACACAAATTCCATGACGAAAAAGTTGTTGTCGTTGTTATTACAAACTCCCGGATGGTGTTTTAGTTTTGTTTTGATACGACAAGACATCCTCATATGCCCGACAATAAAAGACGATGATGGCTCTTTGAATCTATAGTGGTTATCCTCATTCTTTCTATTATTACTAGGAAGAGAACGGAACTCATACCCTGAATTCCGCTTCTCCTCGGCCACAAAAACTGTGTCTTCTTCAGAGAAGGGTACTGAAAACTGAATGAAGCCATGTCGTTTCTTCTCCAGCTTGAGAACACCTTGCAAGCATGAAGCCATGTTTGAAAAATCTCGCTTCGCCCCATTAACGCTTTCTGTGATAGGAGGAGTAACCCAAATTGGCGGCACCCCAACCCCAGATTCAACCGCCGCCGCCGCCAAATTGCCCAATACACTATTTCCTTTTCTGGGGGATTTGATTCTTTTACCGAATGGCCTTTTCATAGGACCGAACCGGACTGCTTTTGGACTACTACTACTGCTACTACTGGCTCTCGAGCCACTGTTTTCTGACCAGAAAGGCGAATGAGGTGCTGGTAACATTGCAGCAGCAGCATTGAGATTAAACAGGTCAGGGTGGAGATTTTTGCCAAGTCTTCTGCCGCTGCTATAGCCTGCTGCTGGGCTTGATGAAGCTGCGTAATCATCGTCCAAGCCACACAATGCGTCAACAATTCCAAACGAGAATGCGGCGGCGCTATCTCGTGAGAATTCTATCTTTGTCCTCTCCTTACCACTGTCTGGTTTTTGCATATTGGAGGAACTCCGCCTAAGCAAATCCTCATCATCATCTACTGATGTATGGGTGAAGTAGTCTTCGCTCCGGAACAAGTAGTTGCTGTTGCTAAATGATCTTTCCCGTGAGATCATCTTCTCGAGTTTCTGATGGATGGGGGAGAGAAGCACCGTTGTTGGGCTTGGACTTCCATCCAATGTGCAGTACTTCTCAAACTCCAAATCCATCTCCCCACATCAAATCACTACATCCATAACTTACCAACATCAAACGTTCATCACCACAACAAATTTATGCCAACACCATACAATTGGGGTTGAAGCTTGAAATAACAAGAAGCGGCCATATCTGACTCACTAAATCCAGACTATGGAAAAACATTGCCATCACCTACAACACAGAAAAATGCCACAGAACTTGAAAAGAAATAAATAAATATTTAATTGTTACTTCTTTTTTAGAAGGAAAAAAAAAAAAAAGCAATACCCATTCCTTCAAATTGACTGCGAAATTGATGCGAATCATCTAACTGCCCTCAAGCCCAGAATTACAGGGCATCAATTTTCATAAAATTGAATTCGCAATAAGATCTAATTTTCCAGTTCCATTTTCTTACCAAATATGAGATCAACCAAGAATCTTAAGGAAACTATAAGCACCAACAAATCCAAGAATTCTTCTTACAAAACACAGATTTCATACAACGGAAATGCTAGAAAAGACAATGGAAAAACACATGACTGTTAATGGAAGAAATAGACCCATACCCGGACTTGATCTCAGAGAAGTGAAGCAAAAGCGAACCCCAACAACCATTGCATAAAACAAATCATTTTTCTCTATAAATCCTTTCTGGTGACCTCAAAACCTCTTCCGACACAGAGTTTTGTTTTACAGCTGGATATATTTTTCTTTTGGGACATGCACTTTGGTCACAGTGGTATATATTCTTAAAATTAAATACCACTCATGACTTTGCACTATTTGAAATTAAAATTCAGGAAGAAGAAAATGAGAAGAATCACACAATAGTTACTTGGGAAAGTGCAAAAATTTTGGGAGAGAGGATATATTGAAACCCAGTTTGCAACTTTTGATTGGGTGCCATGGTTTGATGGTATATCTGTGTTCTAAAAAAAAGATGACACTCCATCCCTAAGGGCCCCGCAATACTGAGCGGACGCAATCTGACAGATAGACAGTGGGACTTTGTCTCGATACTTGCAGAGGCCCTATGCATTTTTCAGTTGCCGGGATTCGAACCTGAGACCTAACCCTTGTGGTACTTCCTAACTACCAGTTGAGTTACGCTCAGCGGTAGTATATCTGTGTTCTCAAATTTCAAAGAGGTTCGATTCCCTTGCATTATGATAAAATATACGAAGTACTCCCTATATATTATACGGAGTAATTGATTAAAAATACATACAATAAAAGTTTTCATTAGATGTTTGTAAATTCTTTGAAGATGGGAAAATAAACAAATGGAGTTAATGCATAAGTAGGATACTCAATTTAGTTCGACGCTATTCATTTTCTTGACTTTCACCTTTTTGTAAAGTTTAGTCCTTAATTTTTTCCATCTTTTCTTAAAGTTAATTACAAGTCAACTCATTTATAAGGCTACACATGGGCTTATTCATCACTTTTTTAGAGCATTGATAATGCAAAAATCGGTTCAACCAGCTGATTCTGCTGAAATTTATGAAATTCTTACTGAAGCGGCTAAATTGACTAATTTATTAATAAAATAAAGAAAAAATTATTTGTAAAAATAGCTAAAATGGTCCTCCACAGTGTTTTTAGCCAATACAGCTAGAAAAGTAACTTCAACCTTATTTTTTCTTATTATTACGCAATTCAGCGCGTAAAATCAAAAAATACATGTTTGGTTGAAAAGTTGTCTAATAAGTGTGACAAGCCGAAAAATTAGGCTACCAAACAGGCTCTTACTCTCGTATAAGCTGACATAAGGTGAGAATGAGTAACTTTCATCTTCACATTTCATTGAGAGTCCCATCGTAAAATCAAAAAATACATGTTTGGTTGAAAAGTTATCTTATAAGTGTGACAAGCCGAAAAATTAGGCTACCAAATGGGCTCTTACTCTCGTATAAGCTGACCTAAGGTGAGAATGAGTAACTTTCATCTTCACATTTCATTCAGAGTCCCCTGCTTTGCAATTGTGGCTATAAGTATGACCCCCAGTGATATGCGTACAGTCGTAACTTGTACTTGACGAGAAAAATACAAAAAGTAAAGGATGACAAGATTTAGTAAAGACGTAAAAGTCTAGGATCAAAACTAACCACGTTAATAATTTGGGACTAAATTGGATATTTCCTTAATAGTCAAGAACAATTTTTGGTATTTGCTGCTCTAAGCAAATGTAGGTGTATTAAGAAATTATTAATACCACTTTAAGATATTGTCAGCCAAAATAGATGATATGTCCTGTATTATTCAAGTTTTACCACATGGATGTACTAAATTTAAAACGTCATACAATCTTGTTCAAGTTAATTAGTGTGCCATATGTGAGAAACTTTTAAGGAGTCATGTGTGACTCTTGTATGGAGTCATATAGGTCATGTGGACATCACCATCACCACACATTTTTTAGTGGGGTCTCCATTACAAAAATGTATGGTGATGGTGATACTCACATGGCCTATATGACTCCATATAAGAGTCATATATGACTCTTTAATATTTTTTTGCTATTTATTAGTTGAGATGACATTTTATAATTCCCGTTTTCAAGTTAATTCATGTACTATAGTTGACATGACATATGAATTTAATGTGAACATCATACATCTGGATATGAACGAGATTGTTTTTTCTTCATTTTTTACTGGCTCACTTTGCGAGTACGGTATGACCATTTGGTACTTATGTTGTGCTCATTTTAAAATATCATATCAACATACATTTCATATGTATTTTATATTCATTCAATTCTTATAAACATTATATGTGTTGGGTATAACACAAAATTAATTGCATTAATCCATACACATATGACATTATATCTATTTCTTACAAGCCACTTAAAACAATTAGACTTAATCTATTGTAAGTAGTTTTGTGGATTATACCACATTCTGTATTCTCTCTCTAAGAGGGAAGGGATGGTAGACGGATAGGCACACTTCTGCCTAGGGTTTAGTAGCATCGATTCATCCGTAGACTTTGGTGCGAAGGTTCTTCGAGCAGCGCAACAATGTCGTACGGCTCTGGTTGAAGGGATCTTCAGTCGACAATAACAATGTGCAAGAGGGTAGCGATGGAAGGCAACTGACAGGATGAGATAGAGATTGTGGCCTAAGCTTATGGAATGATGGAGATAGAGGAAGAAGATGAAGCCCCAAACAACCATTGGGTCTATGGTCGGTTGGATGTACTTGAAGGAAGAGGGTGGAGTGCTATTGGTTCGCCCCCTTCCTAAACCGCCGCCAAGGAAGGAATGAGCGGTTAGGGTTTGGATGCTTCTTTTAGTTATTTTTGCTTGTTTCAATTGTTTTTGTTTTCGTTCAGCACTTACGATATAATTTCTGGAACGTAGTTTTAGTTATTAGTTTGGGAGTAAGCAATCAGGCAGTTATGGCCGATAATAGCTTTGAATCTCTCACATGACCAGCGATTAGTCTTGCTCATTATTGGGCAGTCTATTCTATATCTGATTAGAGAGTAAGAGGACCTACTGGCTATAAGAAGTCTAAAGGGAAGGTCCGGGTAGTTGGAAGGCTGAATGTTTGGATTGGACGGTTGGATGTTTGCTTGTTATTTTTATGAGTTTAATATAAGCGTTTTCCAGTTAAAAAGGTAGTTTTTGTAATCAGGAAGCAAAATCTTATTAAGATTTAAGACGAAGAATTTTTTTCCCACTAAGAACGCATGAGTTTTATTAAATATGAATAGAGAAAATACAAAAGCATATGAAGGAACAAAACTAGTGAAACAACAAAATAAAAGGTAGTGAGTAAACAAAGCGCTAATGAAAATCACAACCAAGGAAATTCCAGGAATCAGCGATCAACTCCTTCAAATGCTTGTGCAAATGTTTTTTCCTAATACCCACCTTATGAAGACGTCCCGAAAACCAAGTTAAACCTTTGATACCAAAAACAAATTTCCCATTAAATTGCACGAATCCCGAATAGCTCCAATGATGAATACATCTCTGATGAATACATCTGTGATCCTATAATTCTGATTTTTTTGCTTTTATACGAGCACTTCTTCTTGGAACTTGAGGGGTGGATTTCCAATTTGGGTCAGCCAAACGATCCAGAAGCTCCCTATCTGTTAAAAGCCTATATTTTGGAGTGGCTTCAATATCCTCTTCTGAAGAATCGGTACAAGAATCAAGGCAAAGACTCATTAAGAGGAAACACTTCTAAAATATCTCCCACAATTATATCCTCATCAATCCCTACTTTTCCCACTTCATTAGAAAACAAGCATTGTTCCCTAACAACAATCTGTGACCCTGAAGAAGAGGAATAACCATAATGTTGCACCAGTCCACATTCCTTTTAAGAAATATACACATAATTATTGTATTCTCATTTGAAATCTTTTTATGCTAATTTATAATATCACACTAATATACATTTCTTTTAAATATTGTACTCATTTAAGTATAACACAAAACTTATTTCCATAAATCATATAATCCTAAAATATATGATGGATCGCTGACCTGGGCGTGGGCGGAATCTGAGAAATAGCGAGGCTGAGAGTGCTAAGTAAGATCGAGTAGAAAATTGGGAAGAGTAACAATAATTTCTTATAGCAAAATTTGGATCCCTTTCCACATGTTGGAAGGTGATATTTATACTAGGGAGGAAATACTTGGCCAACAAGTAAAAAGATGATATTCTATTGTGGTGAGGACATGTGTCCCCTTTGGCCAACAAGAATAAGTGTACTAATCTAATAGTGTGTAACAGAAGTGTCCTTCGTGTACAAGAATGCATGTGCATGGCACACGTGTGCTATGTGGAATATTTTTCATGGTAACTGCCAGGGTGAGATGGCCTTTGTACAACTTTCGTGTTAGTGACGTGACCTTAGCTTTGCGTGGTACTTGATTACTGAAACGCCTAAGTCCACAGTTGATTAGCGAGGCCCCGAGCTCAGTAGGCAAGGTCAAGCTCGGGTATAGTACGTTCGTTACGGGGGATTCAATCCTGGTCTTCTATTTGTCCGATAATGGCAATTCCTTCGTTTCGTTGACTTCGGTTAACTTCAATTCGCGTCCGTGTTTGAGGTCAGATCCGGTACCGACCCCGGTGAGGGTCGAGCTCGACCTCGCGTCCGGTCTTATCTTGGTGATCTAGGAGTGAATGTTTGGACCAACCTCAGGTGGGTCGAGGTCAGCCTCGGGGAGATATTGACTTGGTGGCAAAGGAGACTTCCTTGTACGTGAATGTCTGGTACCCCTAGGGTATGTGGGAATGAGCCCCCCACTCTCTGAGGCAAAATTTACACTTGAGGTGATAGAGAGTGATTCTTCAACTTTTGGGTTGGCGGGGGCACTTCTCTCCATGGTCACAACAGAGGGGCGCCTCATTAAAAACTCCGCTGAGGAAAAAACACTGTGGGGAAAAAATCCTAACGGAAGTAAAAGAAGTAGACTCCGCTCTGAAGTGACTTCCGAAGATGAAGGCGATGCCCCACTTCAAATGAAATGTGCTCGATCTCGAACATCCTTGGTCAGCGGTCAAATTGACTTCATGTCCCTGCAAGTTAGCTGCTACATCCACGGCTTCGGTCGAGGGTTGATACAAAATTTTAAAATTTTAAAGTGAATTTAATGAGCCGAGGTCATTGTTTCTTTCTGAGCTGTTCTTTGAATATTTTTCATTACCTCTGATCGTTGATTTTTGCCCGAGTCCCTTACTTACCAATCCCCCACATTTGTTTACTTAGAGAGAATTTCGAAGTGTAGAAGAGTATGAGCTTGAGAGGGACGAGGCAGTGCTCATGGAGCTTGGTGGACTTAGGAAAATTTAGAGTTCGCGATTGATAAATGTTGATGCATATAGCAATGCTGATGTGTACAATTAGAATTCTTAAATATTCCTTT